AAACCGGTTCCCCTTGCTATACCTACTGTTCCTTTCTTTTTGCATAAGCATCATCGTTTATTTGGGTTAGTTTCATCTTTGCTGATATCCATCGAGACTTGTGCCTATGTGCTTCTTTCTTGATCTTCTCGTTCTTACTTGCAATATATCCATTGAGACTTGTGCCTATGTGCTTCTCTCTTGGTACGCATTGCGGGGGGAGGCGCTGCGCCCTCCCCCCTGCACCCCCCCACCCGCTTTTATTTTTAAACCGGTTCCCCTTACTACCTACTATTCCTTTCTTTTTACATAAGCATCATCGATTATTTGGGTTATTTTCATCTTTGTTGATATCCATCGAGACCTCTGCCTACGTGCTTCTTTCTTGATCTTCTCGTTCTTACTTGCAATATATCCTTTGAGACTGCCTATGTGCTTCTCTCTTGGTACGCATTGCGGGGGGAGGCGCTGCGCCCTCTCCCCTGCACCCCCCCACCCGCTTTTATTTTTAAACCGGTTCCCCTTGCTACCTACTATTCCTTTCTTTTTTCCTGCTGCTACTACTGCTACTACTACTACTGCTGCTGCTGCTACTACTACTACTACTACTACTACGACTACGACTACGACTACGACTACGACTACGACTACGACGACGACGACGACGACGATGACGACGACGACGACGACTACTACTACTACTACTACTACTAGTACTAGTACTAGTACTAGTACTAGTACTACTACTACTACTACTACTACTACTACTACTACTACTACTAGTACTACTACTACTACTATTACTACTACTACTACTACTGCTACTACTACTACTCCTCCTCCTACTACTATGTTTTTTTGTTTTTGATACGGATATTTTTTTTGATCTAGGTTTGCAGCACGAAACCCGTGAGGTCTCACACAGTGGCACCTGGATATTTTTTTTGATGCATATATTTTTTTTTGATGCGTGCTGGATATTTTTTTGATGCATTTTTATTTTTTTTGATACGTGTCTCGAACGAGATCCTCATGAATTGCCGGACAAAGCTGCCACAAATAGATGGCTGACGGGAAAAGACTCAAGCCTTTTGCGGTCACATTGCATTTATGATAGGGATGAATCTCCTTGTAAGAGCTAACTTGTTTTTTTGATTGTTTTTGTTTGAAGAGCTGATTTGCTAGGGTTTCATCAATGTGCTGTGGTGTTACAAGCGCCATGGTGGTTACAAAGAAATGCTATGCCTTCCAGATGTCTTAAACAGCAGTATCTTGGATGTGTTTCAAAATGATCCTTATCCGGGGCGTTTGTGTTTCAAAATGATCCTTATCCGTCTGTGTTTCAAAATGATCCTTATCCGGTGTTTCAAAATGATCCGGGTCCCGATAGATGTATAATTATAGATGATTATGAACAAACTTGTTGATGATGTCATGTTCGTTCAAAAGATGAAGAACATAAAGTCAAGTGAACGCGTCAAAGCATTATGTCAGTTGTTTTCCCGAAACAAGAATATCCGATTTGGATCTCCACTTAGTTGTCCACATATTTCTTATATGAAATTTTGACCAAAAAACATGGGATACACCATACTTGATGTGCGATGCTCATCAAGCATCTTCCATCATCCACCTTCCAACCGGGATGCATCGATGCATCCCCAAGTCCTCAAATGGGAGGAAAAATAGATGGTTATATCATGTTATATCATTATAATCTGTATTGTCAATGGTTAAATCCTTTGATAATCCAATCATTAACCATAAAATCCTGTTATTAATTCCTATGGTTGAACATTGTACATTGCATCATCATGATTTGGGGATAATATATATATATATACATATAATATATATATATAGTATTTTCCATTACAACATCAATATAAACTGGAAAAGAAACAGATGGTTATATCATTATATCCCATGTCCTATATCATTCCCGTTATGATTCCTGTTGATGCTTATCGTTATAATCCCATGATTACTCCCAGTATAATCCAATTAATGAGGATAATTACCATCATTAAAATAATAATTGATGGGATATAGTTGTTTTATTGATAACTATTATCCCATCCCTATGGATCCAAACACTGTCTGAGAAGGTACGGCTAACCCTCCAAATCATACCCCAAACACTTCCTAAGAAGGTACTTGGATCCATAGGGCATGATTATTCCCACCAAAAACCTTATCCCGTTAATAATTGTTGTTTTCATCGCCCCAAGGTATGGCTCCCAGTAGCGAGGAGTTCTCGCTGCCGACAGCGGAGGCCAAGAGCTGGGAGTACATACGACACTGGACCAATGCCTGGAGATGGTGAAATCATGGGAAAAGTCATGGGAATCAGCTGCTTTTAAAATGGGAAACCATGATGGGAACATGGGTTTTTTTGAAGATTTTTAATGGTGATAGATATACAATGGGATAAATAATGCATTAGATGGGCGAAAAATTTGGAATGACCAGCCAAAAAAAATCCGCCCGCACCGAAGGTGCTGGGGCGTGATCTTCCGGATGGCACTCGTAAAAGGTTACAGGTTTACCTGGGGGGGGGGGCATTTTTCGGCCAAAACCTCCTGTTTTTGATAGGTCGTGACGCTTGCCTTCAAAAAACACTGTAAAAACAGTACGGACGACACCTGTTCGTGAACGCGCCCGTCCAAAATCGGCAAGCGAAAAGTGAAAAAACTCGTGTTTTTCAACTTTTTGACCTCAATTTTTTGGTTTGCAACATCTTTTTTTGCGGTTCCGCAGGTGGCCGGGCCGGGCCCGGAGGCGGATTTTTGAGTTTTTGGACCCGTTTTCGGACTGATTTTCGTCGTTTTGTGATAGCAGAAACACTGGTTTTTACAGTGTTTTTCTGTTTTCTGCATGCTTGACAGCTAGCTTCAAAACTTCCAAAAACCTCGTAAATTTCGCTGTTTTATGTTACGGTGTGAATGAAAACATCGTAAATACCACTCGTGTTTTTTGACGTTGGTTAAAAAACACTGTAAATTACAGTGTTTTTGGCCACCTGACCCTCAAAAACCATGGTATTTGCAGTGGTTTCTGCTTCTCACCGCGCAAAAACACTGTAAATAGCAGCAATTTCGCCGTTTTTCATGTTTTTCGTTATTTTTGAATTGCGTTGGTCCGCTATACATGGCTATCAAATTCTTCGCGTTTTTTTTTCCGACAATCAGTACTTTCGGATGTTTTTGGTCTCAATGGCCGACATCATTGGCAGTTCCGAGCGGCTGCCCAACGATGCGGTGCGGGCGGTTGCCGTCGCGACGCGACGTGAATAGGAATTGACCGGAAGAAATACTGATTCAAGCGACGAAAGTGAGGATACAAACCGACTTAACAACAAACCATGAGGGTTGAACAATGAAGATTGGGGATCAAACATGGGTATGACAAAGAATTCTTCAGCTTGAGGTAACTGTGAAATACTGTATCCCAAACTTGCTTGAAGGACAGTTTCTCGATTGGTTTAAGAGGGGGCTACCACTGGGAGTAATCAAAGGGAGGGTTTTGATTACCAGAGTATAACACAATTTAAAAAGGATATCAATTGCCAAGAAACACCTGTAATACAACACAAATCAGACAAGAGTATAGGCACTCATCACCACAATTCCTGTTTGCAAACAAGGTTTAAAATGCCAGGCAGTGGTACTCTCAAAATCACCAGCTGTTTACTGGTTGTTCTTAATATGATCATCTTCCATAACCTTAGATATTATATATATATGTAAATGTATATATATAAATTATTTAATTATCTTTACATGTCTATAGATGCAGATTTGGGCATGTCGTCTTATTGTTTTTTTTGGTTTCCGCATTGATCAAGGCACTTCCCCATCTCCAGATTTCCAAGGCATCGACGGCCTGGGTTTCCTCCCGGGCCTTTGCTGTCCTCACCACGACCGCGTGCAGAGCAACGGCATCCTGCGCGCCGACGACTTCGAAAAACTGCTGCGGCGGCATCCCACAGAACGGGGGATCTGCACCGGTGCACCAAGGGATGGGAATAGGATAGGGATAGAGATGGGTATGTTATGTGCCTGTGAAATAATGATAAATGAAAGATGGGGATAAAGATGGGGATATATATGAAATAGATTGAAATACTATTTTGTGCTTCTTTTGATGTATGGCATCATTGTATCATCATATAATTATATAATTATATATAAATATATGCATGATGTTTCACAGTGCCAGCAAGCGCTGTGCCTGCAGAAAATACGTATATATAAATGATTAAATGTATATGTATATGTTTTTTTTACGGTATGTGAGTTCTTTTGGGAACGGTATATTATATTGCACATATATATATATATTGCTTATATATATATATAACATATATATATACATACTGCATGTATTTCATTATTTGGTTCTAATGACACATCTTAAATACGACATGCTTTTCTTGGCACTGCGGGGATGGCAGGTTTTTTGGGCGCAGCTTGGTGGAGATTTTTTCCAGTAGTACTGTAGGTAGTTTAATAGTACTCTCTATGTAAATAATATATATATATATATACATAAATTCATATAAAATATACATATACAGTTTTTTTGTTTATGTGCATATAAACCTATGTACAAATTGTTTTCCAGGTCATTTTTAGTAACGTTTATAAGTATATTTACATATATATATATACATATATATGTATACATATTTATATATATACATATATATATACATATATATATATATTAAATTACATATACATATATATATATATACATATACACATATATATGTATACATATATATGTGTATATATATATATTATACATATATATATATATTATACATATATATATATATTATACATATATATATATATATACAGTTTGTACACATTAAAACGCATAAATATAGAACTTGGGTCACTGCAAGAAATCCAGTGGTGCCCAGGTATTGATGACTGGACAGCTCTCGAGATTCATCCAGATGGCAGCTACCGAGTTTTCGCAGCGCCAGATGCACCAAAACCTGCCAACTTGCTGATCAAGGCGTCCTGGAAACCAAGATGGATTTTCTCAACATCCACATTGACCATGTATATCATCAGACATCATGTTCCCTCCCAATACTGCATACATCTATATACCCATGTTTGAAGCTAGTAGCTAGTACTCATTGAATCTACTTCTTTGGGTTCATGTTTGAAGCTTGTATAAGTATACCCTACCCCTTGGTTTAGCCACCGTGTTTTGAAGAGGTGTCATACCAGACATGCCAATTTGGGTTGGTGGTTTCAGCTCCCTGAGAATACCAACAAATTTGGATCATCATCCGATTTCTGGAAAAAACAAAAAACAAATGGGATGGAACCAATTCTTTGAATCCATCTTGTTTGTTGCGAACATACCCTACATATCCCTACATAAGCTATGTAATGGCCAATTTGCTTCAATACACAAGAATTGAATTGGATATCCGCATTCACATGATACGAGGTGGCCCCCAATTATAAGTTGCTCCAAAAAAAATTACTTTACTTCGTGTGATCCCCACCATGACATTTATACATTTTCTTACTGGCAAATCTTCTGGCATTCTATCTGACATATCTTCTGACATTCTATTTGGCATTCTATCTGGCATATCTTCTGGCATATGATTTTGCATATCTTCTGGCATATCTTCTGGCATTCTATCTGGCAAATCTTCTGGCATTCTATCTGGCATATCTTCTGGCACTCTATCTGACATATCTTCTGGCATTCAATCTGGCATTCTATCTGGGATATCTTCTGGCATATATTCTGACATATCTTCTGGCATTCTATCTGACATATCTTCTGGCATATATTCTGACATATCTTCTGGCATATGATCTGGCATATCTTCTGGCATATCTTCTGGCATATCTTCTGGCATTCTATCTGGCATATTTTCTGGCATTCTATCTGGCAAATCTTCTGGCATTCTATCTGGCATTCTATCTGGCATATCTTCTGGCATATTAGCCAGAAGATATGTCAGAGTATATGCCAGAAGATATGCCAGATAGAATGCCAGAAGATATGTCAGATAGAGTGCCAGAAGATATGCCAGATAGAATGCCAGAAGATTTGCCAGATAGAATGCCAGAAGATATGCCAGAAGAGATGCCAGATCATATGCCAGAAGATATGCCAGATAGAATGTCAAATAGAATGTCAGAAGATATGTCAGATAGAATGCCAGAAGATTTGCCAGTAAGAAAATGTATAAATGTCATGGTGGCCCCCAATTATAAGTTGCTCCAAAAAAAAATACTTTACTTCGTGTGATCCCCACCATGACATTTATACATTTTCTTACTGGCAAATCTTCTGGCATTCTATCTGACATATCTTCTGGCATATATTCTGACATATTCTGGCATATCTTCTGGCATATCTTCTGGCATATCTTCTGACATATCTATCTGGCATATCTTCTGGCATATTTTCTGGCATTCTATCTGGCAAATCTTCTGGCATTCTATCTGGCATTCTATCTGGCATATCTTCTGGCATTCTATCTGGCATTCTATCTGGCATATCTTCTGGCATATTATCTGGCAAATCTTCTGGGATTCTATCTGGCATATTTTGTGGCATTCTATCTGACATTTTATCTGGCATTCTATTTGGCATACCTTGTGGCATTCTATCTGGCATTCTATCTGACACATCTTCTGGCATATCTTCTGGCATATCTAGTTTGCAAGTAATATATAACATACTTGTCTGACATTCTTTCTAACTTTCTTCTGCACATTCTTTGTCCCATATCTTCCTACATGAGGTCCGGCAGGGAACACTTGGCGTGGATACTCGCAGTTGAGGTCCGGCAGGGAACACTGGGCGTGGATGGTCGTGGTTGAGGTCCGGCAGGGAACACTGGGCGAGGATGGTCGTGGTTGAGGTCCGGCAGGGAACATTGGGTGTGGATGGTCGTGGTTGAGGTCCGGCAGGGAACACTGGGCGTGGATGGTCGTGGTTGAGGTCCGACAGAGAACACTGTGCGTTGAGGGTCGCAGTTGGAAGGACGAGGAGGACGACGAGGACGACGAGGACGACAAGGAGACAAGGAGGACGAGGAGGACGAGGAGGAGGAGGCGGAGGAGGAGGAGGAGAAGGAGGAGGAGAAGGAGGAGAAGGAGGAGGAGGAGGAGGCAACTGACATAAAATCTAACAACCCTCACCTGGCAGGTGGGGAATAATGGTTATGTATATATATATATATGTATATAGTTATATAGTTCATATCCCTATAGTTATCTAGTTATATCCCCGCATTTTTAGCCTAACCAACTTAGACACCAACTTAGCTAAAACTGGAACACCTTGCCTCACAGGAAGTGGCCGATGATGAGTCCATCCGTGTTCTGGAAGCTCCCATCGAAGGTCGATTGAGCGATTTGCTGCGTGGGCCGGTAGCACCGGGCATCAGGAGGGGATCCGAAGCAATAAACAGGCAATGTGGTGACATAAACAAACCGTAAACCCACCAATTGGGGGGGATAGTTCCCCACCTGCCAGGTGAGGGTTGTTAGATTTTATGTCAGTTGCTTCCTCCTCGTCCTCCTCGTCCTCCTCGTCCTCCTCGTCCTCCTCGTCCTCGTCCTCCTCCTTCTCCTCCCTCTTCTCGTCCTCCTGCTCAACCGCGATCCACGCTCAGTGTGCCCTGCCGGACCTCAACCACGACCATCCACGCCCAGTGTGCCCTGCCGGACCTCAACCACGACTTCGACGCCAAGTGTTCCCCCCCTCCCATTTGCTCCATGAAGC